AAGAAGAAGAAGAAGAAGAAGAAGAAGAAGAAGAAGAAGAAGAAGAAGAAGAAGAAGAAGAAGAAGAAGAAGCCGCCAACCTTCAAGTCAATTATTGATTGGCTTGTCTGTCATAGGAAACCAAAGTGAGCCCACGCTGAGTGCCATCCTGAGCTAAGATGTTGAATTAGCTGCTGGGATAAGTCAGAAGTACAAGGACAGCTGTCAGTGTATCAGCCTTCTGCCCTCAATTCAAAGACAAAGGGGTTAGGTTGGTTCAGGCCCTGGCTCTTTCTAAAATAGTTAGATAAATTTTATGTAGGAGCAAGAACAGTTGCATGGAGAACAAGGAGGTGACCTGATGGGGAAAATAAGAAGCTGCTGGTTCGGCTCTCTCAAACCAGGATGAAATTACTGTATAAAGAATATACGAAAAGAAGCAGTCCTGCCTTTGGCATATTCCAGCAACCCAGCACTGCCAGCTTTTAAATCGACTTACTATAGTAAAAGTTACTAAGGTAGCCCCTTGGCTGTTGGTGGTCTTTTTTTTAAAAAAAGAAGTATTGGTGTATTTGTGGAAAACATACATTAGTGGTGCCTGCATTCCTTGGTGGAACTGCCACATTATTAATTTATCTATTACCAGGTAGGCAAGCCCTTAGGCCATTACCAGTGTTGCGTATTTGACACTGCATTGTATATCTATGCTAAAATTCGCACTTCCCTGACAAACCTGATAGTTTAAAATAGTTTTATGAGAACACTACTAATAGATGTATTCATATGTATGTTAACCTGTTCTCACAAAATAATGTTCAGGTCTTATTGTTCTTCAAAGCTATAGCTCCCAGGATTCTTTAAAGTGAGTAGTACTTACGAATGTGATATAAAATTAATGCCTTGTTAATGACTGCCATCTTTCTTTGGGATGCTGTATATTGTGTGCCCAAGAGTAGCTCCTAAAGAAAAATAGCAGTTGGCTGGAACTGGGGGTATTCCTATCCCCTCGAAGCAGTGATGATACACTTGATGACATAGGGAGGAGAAGACGGAGGGGGGTTAGTTAGGTCCACCTCAAATAATACAAACATGTAAAGAATGGCATAGCTGTCATTGCTAGTACGTGCCACTAGCTGGCAATGTTGTGCAAGAAAGAATAACATGATCAGCTTTTGGTATATAGTGATAAGGGATCTAAACTGCAAGTAGGTGTGAAGTAGGAGATCTTTAATACATATTTAATTTGGCACTTAATTTTAGATAACTAACATCACTCAGACTGGAATTGTAATTTATTGATGTCATTACTATGGATTTTAAACATTGAAGTTGATACATACTTTAGGTAAGGCTCTCTCTGGCCAAAAAAAATCAGTTTAAGCTTCAATCCTGTACTCACCACTTACTGATGAGTAATAGAAGGAAATGAATTTGACCTCAGCAAACCTCTATAAGGATGCACTGCTAAGCACTGCTTATTGAAGGATTGCACTGATTTGTGTTTCAGTGCAGAACTGAAACAGCCATAATAACAAGAGCTTCAGCTATTATGAAGACAGCTGTTGCCTGTACTTCTCCAGGCCATCCTTGACAGCACCAGCTTCTCCCTTCACCCACTGTTCTGTTTTCCTTTTTCCCCCTATCCTTTTTCCTCCTCCTCCTCCTCAGCTGCCTAAGTTTGGACATAATTGTGACAGAGCCAATGTAAAGGAGAGTAGAAGAAAATACTGAACATTTTAAAATATTGGAGTCTTGATGGATTTATCCCCTATATCCCCTATATTCTGTGTGCTCAGAATAACAAGAATAAAGATGAAACCATAGGCCAGAGAAAATTTTTCTTTTACGGCCATTCTAAGGACACTGCCCATTTAATCATGTAAGCATTTATCAGGGATCAGTATGAGATGAAAGGAAATGCTTAAAAAGTAGTAAGGAAGTTTTGTCCATCTGCCACGGATGGATGGTTTTATTGCAGTGAATTTCCTTAGCCTTAATCTCCCTCAAGAGCAACCTACAAAGCAATTGGAACAGGACAATTCCTTATGGTACTAGGCTTGCCATATCAAGGCAAAATACTGTTTGAAGTGTCTGTTGGCTTGTTTTAATGCCATGATAAAGCAACATAGCATTGGGGCATCACTTCACTATTTCATAGACAATAACGCCATCCATGTAATTTTTTCTTGTACTGTTCTTGTTAATTCATGACTTTGTCAGTTTTTATTCATTTGCATTCAGCCTTTGGTAGAATTTGCTTGTTTATCACTGATGAACATAATTGGTAGTGATTCAGGTCTGCTTTAAAGCATATTTTGTCTTTCTAGAACCTATTTCCCATAAAGGCATAGCCATGCAAGTGTCCAGCATCCCTCCATCTTCCTATTTTCCAGCAATGAAATGCAGATCAAGAAGCACCTTCACCCCCCCGCCCCCAAACTCTGCATACCAGCTACCTGTTGCTCTGCCTTACAGGTGGAAAATTGCTCCAGCTGGATGGGGCCCACAGCAGCATCACTCCTGACCATGCTTCTGAAGGCAGTGTAAGGATTGCTGTCATTCTAAAGACATCATCCTGGAGCTTTTTCCATGTCAGGGTTAAGCTCTTTCCTACACCTTCCCACAGAGTGGGGTTTTCCAGTATTATCCCAGCCGGATGGGAAGAAGTCCTGCAATGGTGCCCATCCAACTAACATTATGCAAGTAGTAACTCATAAAGATGTACTTCTGATTGCATCTTAGCCCTAGTATGGCTCTTCTCAGCAGCAAGATGTCAAAAATACTCCCTTACTACAGGCAGTAAGAAATGTTTAAACCTATAGTGAAGAACTGTTCATTTAAAAACAATCTGGTGAGGACATTCACATTTTCCTGACTATCCCTTGGCCTACTCCTCAGTACAGATATAAATAGCTAACCCACCACTGTTTGTTACCTATCCTGATCAGAGCGAGGCAGCAAAGACAAAATGACATCAGAAAAATTAACCAATCACTTTTTCTTCTCCCAGTCGATCCAATGGAATTGGAGAGAAGGTATTTGTGTTTATATGTAAGTATGCATGTATATATGTATGTGTGTGTATACATACACACAAGCACACATATACATATATCAAATATTTTTATTGGCAAATTCACATCAAAGTTGTCTCTGGTATGCATAAACTTTTATAACAGTACTGCTCTTTATATTACAGGTTTTATTGTTTTAAAATGCTGCAACACTGCATCTGTAGCACCTCTTTTGTCTCAAAGTGCTTCGTAGTGTCAAGTTCGGGAGAGAGAAAATTAGCCCCCCCCCAAATCTTAGCAAATTAATAACCATCAATGCCTCAGTTATTAGCATAACCCCATAAATTGGACCTTTCAACTATAGAATCCTCACTCTCTAATCTTGTCTCAGAACATTCCTTCCCATTTGCACCATTTACAGACTTCTCAAAATAAATAACTGTATCTGTTCTTCTGTTTGATGGAGACAAGTTAAGAGATGGTGCTTCCTGTTTAGTGGGTAGTTCTGCTTCCTAAGAGCTGAAATACTAACTCTGCCTCTAGACATTTGGAGGAACAAGAAGAAAAACGGTGGATATGGAGCCAGCTTTTAAAGTTTGGCTACTCTGAAGGTTAGGAATGATTTCTCAAAGGAAAATCCATACACTTTTTGTATTTTTATTGTTGTTGTTAAAGCTTAAAGCCTGTATATAAAAGTTTTATGCCATCACTGTGAGCCTTAAGGAATATAAAGCACTAATTTGTTTTGTTTAAAAGTTGCTATCACAGCTTTAATCACTGTATATTGTCCACAATTTCAGAGTCATATCCTTAGTGAGTACTATATTAATGTTTTATTATTATTTTACTTTGGTGGAGAATAAGTGAGGTTGCTTTTTCTTCTACCACCTGCTTTTCTGATTTGTATTTATATTTTTTGTTTTGGAGTTCTGGTGCTCAGGATTCCTCTACTTCTGTTTTGCTTATCTAGAGCCTAATTCTTAAGAAATGTACCTATATAAATAAATATCCAAGTATACTACTTTGTATTCAAGATTGGCTCATCACTTATTCCTCCACTTCAGTGGACTGAAGTGTTACAGACAGTGCAATTAGTTAAGGATGCAAACCAAGAAAGCAGCAGTTTGGTTTAGATATTGCACATAATGTGTTACAGCAAATATTTTAATTGAGATGACAGTCTCATGGGTGAAAGGGATGATAATCTTTTAGATTAATGTTCCTATATGCAGTTTTTATATGCACTTTTATTAAAAATAAGAAACTTTAATCTGACAAATTAATCAGGAGGATCCCATATTCAATTTGTTTAAACTGTTGAAGTATTAGTAATAATTACTAATTACTATAATTACTAATAGCCTTATTGATTTCAGTGGGGTATGTCACCAGAAATTATGTGGCCGTTATTGGAAGCAATGGAATTCCCACCAACAGTGTAAGTTAGTAATTTTGGTTTTATCATCCATCT